GTGGTATGACTCTGGGAACTTAACCTTTTTTTTTTTTTTTAAGAGACAGAGTCTTGCTCTGTCGTCCAGGCTGGAGTGCAGTGTAGCTCTAACTCCGGGGCTCAAGTGATCCTGCCGCCTTGGCCTCCTGAGTAGCTGGGACTAGAGGCACACGCCACTGCACCTGGCTAATCCTTCAATTTTGGCTTGTGGAGATGGGGTCTTGCTATGTCGTCCAGGCTGGTCTCAAACTTCTGGCTTCAAATGATCCACCTGCCCTGGCCTTTCAAAGTGTTGGGTTTACACAGGCATGAGTCACTGCATATCTCTTTTAAACTTGGTTTCCTTATCTCTAGAGAGGCTTTTAAATCTACGTATCTTTAAGGAAAGCTAGACTAAATGACCATTAAATAAAATGAGAAGCTCTGACATAAAACATAATCAGAGTAAAACTTAAAAGGTTCTATTTCCTTTTTTCTTATGTAAAACTAAGTATGGCTTAGAATCCCAGATGACCTGATTCTATTATACTTGGGAACCTTTGACTATGATCTAAATAAACCTCAAGTAAGAGACATGGTCATTTACAATGGCAGTTTTTTTGAGACTTAAAAGCAGCAAATCTCTCCCTGTACTGAAACAACTTATCGGTATGGAAAATACATAAAGTGCAGAGTGAAACTACTCTAGGGAAAGCAAGGAGAGACTAAGCGCTATAAGCTCTACTTACTTGATCCTCTCCTCAGCTCTGGGAAAATCAATTTTCCCAAATGAGAGAAAAAACTTTAAGTGCCACAGGAGGGCCAGGGATGGTGGCTCAAGTCTGTAATCCCAACACTTTGGGAGGCTGAGGCAGGCGGATCACCTGAGGTCAGGAGTTTTGAGACCAGTCTGGCCAACATGGCAAAACCCCACACCCAGTAAAAATACAAAAACTAGCTAGGACTGGTGGCGTGCACCTGTTAATTCCAACTACTCAGGAGGCTGAGGCAGGACAATCTCTTGAACCCAGGAGGCAGAGGTTGCAGTGAGCTGAGATTGTACCACTGCACTCCAGCCTGGCTGACAGAGTGAGACTGTCAAAAACAAACAAAAGCCACAGGAATAAGCTCTATGAGATGACCCAAATCCTCTTCTGGCACTAGAATTCTATTGCATGCCTTATTTAAAATAAGTGAGCTAATATTTAGAATTCTATTTCGCTTTAGAGATCGGTTGCAAAAGGATTGCTAAGAGTATTAATACGGTGATTAAAAAAAAAAAAAAAAAGGACTTGCCTGGCTCAGGTAACCCACAATAACATGTTTGTCAGAGCCATGTCATCTCACAACAGGAAAAAAAGAAACTGGCTCTGCTCCAGAATGGTCTTATTATATCACCATCCATTTCATAACTCCACTTTAGGTGAATACTTTCATGGGATATTGAATAACACATCAAAAACAGTTTAAAATTTTACAGCTGCATTTTGTCCGACTATAAGGCAAAAAGCAGAAACTCCTTCCAAAAGTAGTACTGCAAAGTATTCATTCATTCAGTGCCCTACTGAAATTGGGAGTTCCAAGGAATGCCAGCAAAACCTCCTGTGGGAAAATGGTGAACTCCACCAGGTTTAATAATGTGACCCTCACTAAATGCGTAGCAGTTAATGATAAAAGTACAACTATCTTTCATAACAGAAAGTGGGGGAGTGAGGGGAGTAGGGACGGGCAGAGAAAGTTCCCTGACTTCATATTATCGCATATACAGATAATCTGGTTACAAAGAGTAGCCTAGCCTTGAAAGAAGAGAAAATCACAACGGACACCATGTTGCTGAGAGGGTTTGCGGAGGAAGGGTGGTTTCCAGACATCCTTAGTGAATGCAGGTCACATGCAAAGAGGTATCTCAGGCCCTTTTTTCTTCCTTTTTGACAACAAATTTGCAGTTAATCAGGCTCTGGACTTGCTCAGAGAAGCCCAGAATTGGGCCTAAAGAATAAAATAACATGAAATATCTGTGAAACCATGAAAATACATTTTTTTAAAAAAAGTTTCCAGGTATAATACACAAAAGCAAACAAGTTTATCTTAAAAAATATCAAGTATCACATCCATAGCCTATTCCTAATTATAATTACTTCTTAAAGCAACATTTGTCTTTGTTTACAAATACAGCAGCAGGTGATAAAACCTAGTATCTCAAACTGATTGCTTACAATTTATAATACAAACAAATGTATATGTCTCAAATCACATTTTAGGCAGTTTAACTTAAAATGCATAGACAATTACATACATTAAAGTTGTCATTACTGTCAGTGAAAAATCACAATTTCAAGAAAATTACAAAAAACTTTCATAGAGCACACAGAAGTTTACTTAATGGCAACAAGTCAGTATCTGCTAATCAGTGACAGGCAGTTCAAGTGCCTTTATCCAGGGGTAAAGTGAAGATGCAAACTATCCTGTTACTTTGCACACTTGAATTGTTGCGCTGATCAACACTACAATCTTGAAAAACATTAAATTCTTATATAAAAAAAAAGGTATGCCACATGTCGCCCTTTAAAATGCCCAAAGGCTGGTTACAGTTTCCACCAGTAGCAATCAACGTTTACCTAGGTAAAATTAACAATGAATGGGTGTGCTAACGAATTCTGTAATGTTACTTATACACTATAAGCCTCTCAAGGACAGGGATTCCCTTATAGCTGGCAAAAAACCTGGATCAAGGATAATATTGTCTACTGAATAAATGACTCAGATGTTTTCGATAGCCAGAAGCTTGCCTGGCATTTACAAAATATTATTTTACTGGCAGTTTTTGTTTTACTTGGCAGAATTCTGAAAATAAAGTGTTTGTCTTCAATACTAAATACTGCTTTATTAAAATCAAAGTCTTCCCTGAACGCCACCTACAACTTTCTATGCACAGTACAATATATCAGTGTGATTTATCTGAATTTAGGCTTATGCTTTTCAAAAACTTGAAGGTCTGTGCTTAAGTTTTATTTCCAGGCTTTCTAACCCTGGCATTTGATAAAGGGTTCTATCATTCAGGGTGAGAAAATTGAGACATTGGCACTTATTGTTTAGAGGTGTAGGCAATTGACTGATACTCAAACTAGGCAGTCTTAACAAAAACTCTTGAGTAGAGCTTTTGTCATCTACACAAAGTTTCAAAAGCTGTGCATTTGAGTACCATAGGTGGCACTAATTATTTGTGAGGTAATAGATCATGGGCAAATTGATTGGTTTTTTAGAAAATATCCCAATAGTCCATTGTGGTGGTGGGACTGACTAAGGCAAAATACATACTTTTCTTCTCTGCCCTATTACTATTCTCTACTGAAGATAACCAACAGTAAAATGGACAAAGCAGTCAGTCCTTGGGTAATTAAAAAATGTACTGTCTATTTCTGAATAATCAATATACTTTATACAAAATAGGGCTGAGTCAGAGCTGTAAATGGTGTCTTCAAAAGCATGAAAAGATGAGAAGGCGGCAGGATGGGACAGACAAGCCAAGGTATTTGAAGTGCTCCACTTGCTTCTTGAGAACTGGGTGTGAATGAGGACCTAAGGTCTATGTTTTAATTTTTGTCTTTTTGGTTTCAACATTTCAAAACTTAAGATTCCAACTCCAGAAACAGTAATCCTGAACATATCTCAACTTCTTCCATTAGATTTATTTGAAAATTCTTCCTCCGAAGCTCAAATGTCAGCATATTCTATAATCTGTATTCCTCGCCTAAGACCAAATATACTTGCTAACAAGCAGTCTTTTCCATAAACCAATTTCAGCCTAACATGTCTTGTTTTGAAAGCAACATCATTCCATTTTAAAAAGGAAAAAAAGGTCGCATGGTGGCTCATGCCTGTAATCTCAGCACTTTGGGAGGCCGAGGCAGGTGGATCACAAGGTCAGGAGTTTGAGACCAGCCTGGCCAACATGGTGAAACCCCCATCTCTACTAAAAATACAAAAATGGGCATGGTGGCAGGCGCCTGTAATCCCAGCTACCTGGGAGGCTGAGGCAGGAGAATCGTTTGAACCCGGGAGGCAGAGGTTGCAGCGAGCCGAGATCATGCCATTGCACTCCAGCCTGGGTGACAGGGCAAGACTCTCTCCAAAAAAAAAAAAAAAAAAAGCAAAAAGGAGAAAAGCCTTTCTCGATGCTGTTCCCCATTTCTCCACTAAAACTCCTGCTTTTCTTAACTCCACACTGAACCAACCTGAAATATTTTTTGGCCCAGAATGCCAACAAGAATCAAAGAAAAGATGCTTTACAAAAGTAACAAATATAAAAGCAAATTCTATTATCCCTTTTATCTCCATTCTTATATTAAAAAAAAAAATTTCCCCAAAATACCAGTTGTAAAGTCCTTGAAAACAAAGGGAGTACCATGGCAGTATGATTTAGGGCACACTGGGCAGTATCGGTCACTAGCAAAATTATTATACTTATTGGGAGTAGTAATCCCAAATTGTGTTCATGGCCCTTCGAATCCTTTAGCAACGGATTTTCTCCCAAAATCAATGGACTTCATAATTATAGATTCCCAAACCTGCTATCTCTTCTTCCTAGTCAAATTATATTTGCTCTAGTGTTAAACTAAATACTGCTAATTTGTCAGTTTATCCCAATGTAGGACAGCCAAAATAACTGTAAGGAGAGATATCTTTGCAGTCATCTCACTTTTCACATTACTTTATCCCTCCATGGTTAACTGACATTTTGATATTGATAATTCAAGCCAAGGCTACCTGCCTTGTAGACTGGGGGCTACTTTGACAACAGAGTCCAATAGTACTGTAGATAGCTAACACCTGTCCTTGCAGAGAAGTGAAACAAAAAGCTAACAACATTCCGCAGTCTGAAAATATCTTAACAAATTAGTTTCTACTTTCTCATTTCTAAAAGCTTTCATCTATCATCTAGTTAACATAAGGGAGGATTAAACACTGAATGTTCCTCTGAAAGGTAACCATTTTGCTTTCTTAAAAGGAGGTAGCTATCAAACCAAAAAACTGGCAGCATTTGGCATTCTTGACATTTTAATTAGAGCAGAAATAAACTACTAAATATTTTATTTCTAAGCAAAACAGAGCTCCAGCATAAATCCTGTTTGTCTGAGAAATTCACAATACATTTTAGAAATCCAATGGATACATTCAAAATGTTATCTAATAAATAACAAGGTCAGGTCTACCCTAAATCTAAGAATCTGGTTTAAACATAAGGTGCCAAAAAACTACTAGGACTTTTTTGGTGGTTATAAACAGTAATATTTAAGCAACACAGTCACACTGCTTTAAACTTAGTTGCAGAGATCTACAATTTATTATTATTTTCAGTGTTAGAGCTAGAGGGTAAATTTTTCAAAGATGGCACTCAACTCCACTTATTTACCTGTCAACAAATACAGAACTGAACTGTTAGCCATAAGCACTTTACAAATAGACTCAGGAAACTATGCAGTAGACAATGACATAGCTTAACCAGACTCTGAAAAACAGATACATATTTTGATTCACACTTGTACAAAGAGAACAGTCATGTCTGCATGACTTAAGGTTCTCTAAACACAACTGTTTTATGTTTTAGACCCCTAGAGTGTGCCAGTTTACCACATCAGGGAGGAATCAAGGGATGTGCTCCTTCTAAAGAACCAAGGGCAAGTGGGGGGGGTGGCTACAGGGAAAGCTCTGGGCAGAAGAGGTGCCTCAGGTTTTTGTGGGAATGAAAATTACCTGTTGCAATTAAGCAATGCCTAGGGTTTATCTAGTTTGAGGTTCAAAACAAAGGAGAGAATTATTTCCTTCCTCAAGCTCTTCACAAAGCAATATGCACATCTCATAATCAAATCTCAAGTAGTACAAAGAGATAATCAATTATCTAAAAATTTAATTTACATACATGTTGGCCTGGATTAAAAACAAAAAAGTTAGTTTCCATAAATAGCAGACTTTAGTGCTGTATGACCCAATGACTAAAAATAAAACCAGGAAGTTTTTACTGAAAGCTCAAGGATAAAAATGAACACTGGCTGGCTATTGAACTCCATCCACATCTGACAATAATTACTGACAGTTTAAAAATGTATATCCAAAATATAACCTCAAGAGGAACAGGTTTATTTGTCCGACAGAGTAGCTCAAAATGCTGAGGCATTATTTGTTTGGATTATGACGGGTTAATCTCAAAGTTTATTTATTTAGAAGGGGAAAGTGATTATAGAAAAATACTTGAAATAATTTACCAATGAAGTTGCAGATTCTAACAATAATCCACATCTTAGATTTTTAAGTGTGTAGTTTCATAATTTAAACAAATTCTGTCAAAGAGCTATTCAATATACTTTATCACTTTAACTTTCCATGAAAACCAAATAAAAATCACATCTGAATGATTTACTTCTATGCTTTTATCTGATTGTATACATATGATGTACTACACATCCAAGTACAAGAGGCAGTTATCTTCTCTGAGAGGTGCAAGAGTTGTTCTTTCATGAATGCCCTCTAATAGTGAAACCAGCAATTTTTATATATGCATTCATGTGCATATATATGTACTTCAAAAAGCAAAGCGTCATCTCTTCGTCCATTGTTAACTTAATGGTAAGACTGCAATAGAAAAAAGAAAAAGTCAACTTCTAGATTTTGCAAATGGAGTTTATTAACTCCTTACTGTGGCTTAAAGTAAATTTATTGCTTAATAAATCCAAACAGCAAGTCACATCACTTACTCTGGCGTACACTTTGCAAAACAAATATTTTTAGATAATATATATAGCAAGAAATTACACTAATGCAAGGAGGAAGTTTTGGGGGTACTTTAAAGATTTCTTTTCCTTTATAGCTGGAGTGGATGTTTGACTAATCTAATCAGAGATCTGACTAGTTATTTGTGTATTAAGAGTTAACAGATTTTTTTTTTTCTGGTCGTGCACGGTGGCTCAGTAATCCCAGCACTTTGGGAGGCTGAAGCGGGCGGATCATTTGAGGTCAGGAGTTCAAGACCAGCCTGGCCAACATGGTGAAACTCCATCTCTACTAAAAATTAAAAAATGAGCCAGTGTGGTGGCGCACGCCTGTAACCCCAGCTACTCAAGAGAACTGCTTGAACCTGGGAGGTAGATATTGCAGCGAACCAAGAGACCGCACCACTGCACTGCTGCCTGGATGACAGAGCAAGACTGTCTCAAAAAAAAAAAAACAACAAAAAAAACCAAAAACCAGTTAACAGACTTTTTTTTCCCCAAGGAAAATCTTCTGCGTTTGGATACTCGCTTGGCTTACCTCACAGGGGAAATGGGGTACTTTTCCATTCAGTTATATGACCAGGGCAGGCTCATCAACTAAGATGTTAACCCCACTCTGGCTTGTCTGACAGTAAAGCATAAAGCATTACATGTAACTGACAATAAAGAATAGGGGTACAATCTTGAGCTCGAGAATTGCTTGAAAGATGGGCAACATTACCTACTCACTGGCTTGGATTCTCTAAAAATCTACCTCTATCAAGCTAGACAGGTAGAGACTGCTTTTACTGAACTGTACTTTGGTGTGATGCTATGAAACGATACTGAGAAATAATAATAATAATGAAACAAAAAGCCCAGTGAATCTCAGAGTTTAACTAAAGGATGCTATTGAGCGACACTGCTTACTACATTACAAAGTCTTTGGGGATCTTTGGAAAATTTTTCTTTTTAGCACAAGGAATACTTAAAATACTGCTTTCATCCTTTTAAATGCTTTACCTGAAGGTTTGAAATTTACTCATTTAATATACACACACCCTCTTTTAAAAACTTAAAAGCCTTCTTAATCTTCCATCCAAAACTGGGGAGAAACAATCTTTCAGTTGTGCTATGTACAATTAGTACACTTTAAATAACAAATTGAACACTCACATGGGGGCCACCAGGCATCGGTGGAGCACCAGAAGGTCCTGAAGGCACTTGGAAAGGATTACTGGGAGTAGGATAGAGTCCTGGTGTGGGATACGATCCTGTAGGGGCAGGATATGGTGCTGGTGGTCCCCAGGCTCCTGGTGGAACGGTGCCCCATGGAACAGGTGGTGCTGCCCCAGGGGCTTGGGGAGGAGGAGGAGCGGGATATGGCCCTGGAGATGGATATGGCATATTAGGGGTAGGATATTGCCCTCCCATTCCTGGCGCCCAAGGTCCAGAAGACATGGATCCCCATGGACCTAAAGGACCAGCTGCAGCTGGATCTGTGGGTGCACCATATGGTCTGGGTAGCTCTGGAAAGGGCATATTTGGTGTAGGATATGGCCCTGTGGGGCCAGGGCCTGGCACTGTTGGGGCTGGATAAGGACCACCGGGTGGGGGGCATGATGGTCCAGAAGGAGGAAAGGGTGCTGGGGGTCCTGGAGGTGGTCCGGTGGGAGGCACGGAGGGATACATTCCTGTTGGTGCTGGTCCAAAAGGCACAGTGGAGGGCGTTGCACTTGGTGGGAGTCCAGATGGCACCGAAGGTGGAGCACTCGGATTATTCCAAGGGCTGGAGCCTGGCCAGCCTTGAGGAGGTTGGCCAGGTTTTGTATTGCTCACAGCAGAGGTTTTGGCAGGGGAGTGTTCAGGTAGTGCATCTGCCAACTGGAACACAAAACAGATAACATCTTATCTATCTTATCAAGAGAAAAGTTATACCAAACACCATTATAAACCCACAAAGAACAGTAACCTACAGGGCCAGGGATTATAAACCTCAAGAACATCTTCAAAAGCTAAGCTAGTCATTTAAAACATACTCGATTTAACATAAAACTTGAGGTGTTACTTTGAATATCAACTTTACAGTGCAAGTTCTTCAGAGAAGCTCGTTTTCTAAATACAACTAATCATATTGTGCTTCATTTCTCTGCTGTATTAATATAACAAAGTACAGTAATTAAGAAGATAGAACTAACAGTCAAGGTATGGATTTGAATCCTGGCTTAACCTCAAAGGAGCTACATACTCTGAGATAGAGCTTCTTCAGTTTCAAAAACTATTTTAGGGTTAATTTGAGGCTTAAATATGATAGTTCATGTAGTACACTTAACACAGTGCCTGGTATATAATAATTTCCAATAAATGTTGGCTACTAATACTATCAGGGTAAAAGAGAATAGAAGTAACATCTTAAATTTTCATTTAAGGATTCATAAAGACATATAGGAAACATTTCCAAACATGCTATTATCTCAGTAAACCAAGGCAAATCACCTATCAAAATCCCTCTCCTACCCCCAAAGCCAAGAATCACAAAAAGCATCTCTTTTATTTATTTATAAACAGAGTCTCACTCTATCGCCCAGGCAGTAGTGCAATGGCAGGATCATGGCTCACTGCAGCCTGGAAATCGTGGGGTCAAGGGATCCTCCCAAGTAGCTAGGACTACAGGTGCACACCATCGCGCCTGGTTAAAGCATCTCTTTTAAGTGAAAAGATTTACAAAGGCCAGTTAGGACCACGTTGTTTTTCTTAAGAGATGAAAAACTTATCACAGATAAACTCATCAACTTACCGAAAATTCATCAGACATTTTCCTAAAAGAAGAAAAGAAATGAAGGAAGAAAAAGTTCAAAATCAGTGTTCACCATTTCTTAAATATTCCTTAAGGAACTTTCTATGCATACATTATTATTACTTAAACAGAATCTTAATCATTTATGTAATGTGTTTTTCTTTACATAGGAAAGTTTTCCATAATAGTTCATACAGCTCTATCAACTTCATCCCTCTTAATGGCTGCACAACATACAAAAATGATTTGCAATTTAATTTACATTCTTTTTGTAGCAGTATAAGTTGTTTTAGGTATGACACAGTGAACATCTCTGAACACATCTTTGTTTATGAGAATCTATCACTGGGAAAAAGCACTGGACATGGAATTTAGAGTCAACAGATAAATTTATCTAAAATCCATTTGAAAAGTCCATGCCAATTTAGTCACTCATTTCTCTAACTCCTCTTTTACCATTGGATATTACTAAATTTATTGTTTATAATGACAATAGGCATTAAAAAGTAGCATCTTATTTTAACTTACACTTCCTTGTCTTTTTTTTTGGAGACAGGGTCTCATTCTGTCACCCCTGCTGGAGTGCAGTGGCGAGATCACAGCTCACTGCAACCTTGACCTCCTGGGCTCAAGTCATCTTCTTGCCTCAGTCTCCCTAACAGCCGGTACTACAGGTGTGTGCCATCATGCCCAGCAAATTTCTTAAAATTAAAAATTTTTTTTTGTAGAGACAGGTGTCTCACTATGTTGCCCAGACCTGGTCTCAAACTCTTGGGCTCAAGGAACCCTCCTGCCTCAGCCTCCCAAAGTATTGGGATTACAGGCATGAGCCACTGTGTGTACCCCCAAATTTAAATTTGTTCATGTCCTGCAGTACTTTTACCAATTTTTAAATTGAAGTATAATTAGCACTCAACAAAATGCAGAGATCTTACGTGTTCAGATTAACAAGCTCTGATAATTGTATACGCCCCTGTAACCACCCCAAGATACAGTACATTTCTCACTCCAGAAAATTTACTCATGCTCTTTTCCAATCAACTGCCATGCCACATGGCAGTCAATTTTTGACTTAATTTTGCTGGTTCTTTGACTTTATATAAATAAAAGACTGTATGTACTCTTTGCCTTTGATCATTTTACTACTCAGTAGCACATCTTTTTCTCTCACTGTTTTGTAAGATACTAAGGAGACTAGCTCTCATATATGAGATTAGCATTTTTTGGCCAGGTACGGTGGCTCATGCCTGTAATCCCAGCACTTTGGGAGGCCAAGGCGTGGATCACGAGCTCAGGAGATGGAGACCATCCTGGCTAACACGGTGAAACCTCACCTCTACTAAAAATACAAAAAAAAATTAGCTGGGTATGGTGGCAGGCGCCTGTAGTCCCAGCTACTCGGGAGGCTGAGGCAGGAGAACGGCATGAACCCGGGAGGCGGAGCTTGCAGTGAGCCAAGATTGCACCACTGCACTCCAGCCTGGGAGACAGAGCCAGACTTCTGTCTTCAAAAACAAAAACAAAAAATTTTCTCCCAAATTCATTTTATCTGTAGATCTCTTAAATGGCATATTCTGGTAATACAAAAGTTTTAAATTTCATGTCATCAAATCTATCAATCTTTTCCTATATGTGGCTTCTGGATTTTATGATATATTTACAAAGGCCTTGCCCACTCTGCCTTGCTTTCATATAGTATTTTCATGGTTTAACTTGTTTAAAATCTTTGAATTCTTCCAAACAATAATTATCAACTATCTATCTTTTCTCAACTAATTGGACAAGCTACCTTTACTACACTCTACTGCTGCCATTTATAACTAGCATTTATCCAATATTTACCATGGAATATGGTACATGGTGGTGCACTGTGTACCATCTCACTTGGTAGCTCCAGAACCTTATGATACAAATTTTATTTTCACCCCCAAACAGCTGGAGAAGAGGAAGCTTGGCAAGTTAACTTGTTTAAGGTCCCAGAGCTAATGACAAGGAGAGAAGCAGTTCAAACCCAGTATGACTCCAGAGCTTAGGCCCTTAAAAAGCAGGCTATACAGCCTCCTTCATTTCCAACTGATATTGTGGACTTTCTTCTTTTCTTTTTGAGACAGAGTCTTGCTTTGTTCCCCGGCCAGAGCATCATAAGCTCATTGCAGACTCTACCTTCTGGGCTCAATTGATCCTGCCCAGCTAGTGTTTTGTAGAGACAGGGTTTCACCATGTTGCCAGGCTGGTCTTGAACTCCAGAGCTCAAGTGATCTGCCTGCCTTGGACTCCCAAAGTGTTGGGATTACAGGCGTGAGCCACTGCGCCAGGCTGACTTTATTCTTTTCTACTGGTCTGCAACTGTACCATTCCATTTTAATTACAAAAGCTTTATAATATATTTTAAATAAACATTAATGTGAGTCACCCTACTGTCTTTTTCCCCCCCCCAGATTTTCCTACCTATGTTTTCCATTTCGTTAAAAAAAAATCTGTTAGCATTCTGGTTGGAAATGTATTAAATTTACAGATGAATCTGGGGAACATCTACTTAAAATGTCGAATCATCTCATTCAAGAACAAGGTATAGTAGTCCCTCAGTACCTGAGGGAGATTGGTTCTAGGACCCCCGCAGATACTCAAATCCCAGGATGCTCAAGTACCTGATATAAAATGGTGTGGTATTTGCATATAACCCGTGCACATCCTCCTGTATAAATCATCTCTATATTATTTATAACACTTAAAAGTGTGAGTACTATATAATTATATTAACTTATATTTTTTATTGTGTTTCCCCCAAGTATTTTTTCTTTTTTTTTGAGACAGGGTCTCACTCTGTTGCTCAAGTTGGAGTGCAACAGCATGATCTCAGCTCACTGTAACCTCCATCTCCTTGGTTCAAGAGATTCTCCTGCCTCAGCCTCCTGAGTAACTGAGATTATAGGCAAGCGCCACCATACCCAGTTAATTTTTCTTATGTTTAAGAGATAGCGTTTCACCACGTTGGCCAGGTTACTCTTCAACTCCTGGCCTCAAGTGATCCGCCCACCTCGGCCTCCCAAAGTGCCCGGATTACAGGCGAGAACCACCTCACCCGGCTCCCTGAATATTTTCTACCCGCAAATGCAGACACAGAGGACTGTTTAGTTCCCGTCCTTTTCATGTAGATCATTTTCTTGATCAGATCTCGTATATACATTTCTTTTAAGGGATTTCTGTTAAACTTTTTCCTGTGGTTGCAAATAGGCTCTTTTCTTCCACTGTACTGTCTAATTGATCGTTCAAATACGGGACAGCTTTTTAAATTTTAGTCTACAGCAGGTCCTCAAAAGACGTTTCATTCAACTTTGTTTTGTTATAACGTTGATGAGAAGAAAAAAAAGTCTCAGCTGAGGTCACTGTCTGTGTGAAGCTAGCTCATTCTCCCATCTTTATGGGTCTTCTCCAAGTACTCCAGTTGCCTCCCATATCCCAAAGATGCACATGAATGGATGTGTCTACACGGCCCAGTCTCCATGGGTGGGGGTGTGGGCGAGAGCACCCTGTGCTGGGATGGCATCCAGTTCAGGGCTGGTTCCCATCTTGGGCTCTGAATTGCCAGGAAAGGCTCCAGCCATTGAGACCCTGAACTGGAATAGGGAGGCAAATAATTATCTTTTTATTAATCTTTCTCAAATGTATACACAGCTCACATTCATTTCAATTTTTTTTTTGAGACAGGGTCTTGCTCTGTCACCCAGGCTGGAGTGCAGTGGTGTGATCACAGTTCACTGCAACCTCGACCTCCCACGCTCAAGTGATCCTCCCACCTTAGCCTTTGAATAGCTGGGACCACAGGCATGCACCACCACAACCAGCTAATTTTTAAAATTTTTAGCAGAAATCTTTTTTTTTTTTTTTTTGAGATGGAGTCTCGCTCTGTCCCCAGGCTGGAGCGCAGTGGTGTGATCTCGGCTCACTGCAACCTCTGCCTCCTCGGTTCAGGCGATTCTCGTGCCTCAGCCTCCTGAGTAGCTGGAACTACAGGTGCGTGCCACTACGCCCAGCTAATTTGTGTACTTTTAGTAGAGACGGGGTTTCACCATGTTGACCAGGATGGTCTCGATCTCTTGACCTTGTGATCCGCCCACCTTGGCCTCCCAAAGTGCTGGGATTACAGGTGTGAGCCACTGTGCCCAGGCCATTTAAATGTTTAACACTAGAAGTGTTTTGGGTTTTATTTAAAAGTTTAGTGATGTTTTTATGACCAGAAGTATGCCATAGGAATTTAACTCTTCTTTATATTAATTAACCTAGGGTAGGAAGCAACATTACTGAATTATTCTTCAAAGTTTCTCACTTGATTGTCTGGGATTTCCAGATTTAAAAAATATGCCATTTGCAAAAAATAATTTTCCTTCTCTAATAATTATGCATATTTTCTCTTTTGCACCTGCTAGGACTTAAATAATGAAATGTTAAGTAGTGATAGTGGGCACAGCAGTCTTGTTGCAACTCTCCTGGGAATGCTTCTAATGTTTAAGTATGATTCCCATTTTTAGTTTGAGATTTTAAAAAATTACATTAAGTTTTTAATTTATGCCTATGCTATTATTTATTCCTATTTTGTTAGTTAATAAAGAAAGCAAGAAGACACTAAATTCCCTCAAAAGACTTTTCAGTCTCTAATGAATGGATCGCATGGTTTTTCTCCTTTGACCTATCAATACAGTATTAATATAGAGTCACCTTTGTATTCTTATATTCCTAGCATCTTACTATTTTTTTTTCTAGACAGAGTTTTGTTCTTGTTGCCCAGGCTGGAGTGCAATGGCGCGATCTTGGCTCCCCGCAACCTCTGCCTCCTAGGTCCAAGTGATTCTCCTGCCTCAGCCTCCCGAATAGCTGGGATTACAGGCATGCGCCACCACGCCCGGCTGATTTTTTGTATTTTTTGTAGAGACAGGGTTTTCCCATGTTGGTCAAGCTGATCTTGAACTTCTGACCTCAGGTGATCCGCCCGCCTCGGCCTCCCAAAGTGTTGGGATTACAGGTGTGAGCCACTGCGCCTGGCCCCTTAGCATCTTATTTCTAATTATGATTTGGTTATCATGAGGAATGAAAGGACAAGAACATGAAGGACAAGAACCCAAGCCTATCCCAACTGCTATATCCTTTTTATTCAGAATATCAAAAAACACATACAACCCATTTCCATGTTAAGGTTTAACATCAATCATATCACACAATAAAATTTTTATGACTAACAGTGTAGAAAATATATGGTAAGTTGTAAGACTAACATGCTTTTTAAACAGGGTTAGCCTTTCTGAAATAGAAAACGATTCTGTATCAAAGTTCATATTAATTCTGGAGTTGAGAATCAAAGTGAACCAAATGGTCTTGACTGTTCAGGTTTTCAGAATTACAGTTACCTAGTCACAGAATTACATAAATTATTCTACAAGTTAATAATATTCAACTGATTCACAATACTACTTCAAAATTTTAAAGTTCAAAATCCAAGTTTGGAAGATAGGGGAGGTGCTAGAATCTCGTGATTAAAAAAACAAAGCCCTAAGCGTAGGAATTAATAACAAGTTCTGTTCTATGGCACTGTCTTAGTAAAGTAACCAGTTCTCCATTACTAGAATAATCAGCGTTCATGTTAGGGTAATCCCCCCTCATCCATGGTTTTAGTTACCTGAGGTCCGAACGCATTAAATGGAAAATTCCAGAAATAAACAATTAAGTTTTGTTTTTGGGATGGAGTCTCGTTCTGCCATCCAGGCTAAAGTGCAGTGATGTGACCTCAACTCACTGCAACCTCAGCCTCCCAGGTTTAAGTGATTCTCCTACCTGAGTCTCCCGAGTAGCTGGGATTACAGGCATATGACACCACGCCCAGCTAATTTTTAATTTTTGGTAGAGATGGGGTTTCATCATGTTGGCCAGCTGGTCTTGAACTCCTGGCTTCAAGTAATCCGCCTGCCTCGGTCTCCCAAAGTGCTGGGATTACAGGCATGAACCACTGCACCTGGCTAATTCTTAAGTAAATGGGGCAAGAGCATGTTCTGAGTAGCAAAATGAAAGTTTGCACCCTCCTGCCTAGGACGTGAATCATCCCTTTGTCCAGTGTATCCATGCTGTATACACTATCAGCCCATCTTGGTTATGAGATATAAAAAACACGGTACACTTAGGCTTCCGCAGTGTATAGACTTCAGTTTCAGGGATTCATTGGGGAGTCTTGCAATGTGTCCCCCTAGGATAAGGGGGAACAACTGTAATTGGAAGCATTCCAATTTGCTCTTTGGAGAATACTTTCATTAGAAAAGGTGAAAAACAGAGTTGGACATGAACGTTTCAATATGAGGAAAGTTGCAGAACGTAAAAAGTTTAGGTTTTCTAAAAAGCTATTCTAAGCCGCGCTTAGTCGTGTGCACCTGTAATCCCAGCTTCTCAGGAGGCTGAGGTGGGAAGACCGCTTGAGGCCAGTAGTTAAAGACCAGCCTGGGCAATATAGTGAGACTCTGTCTCAAAAAGAAAAATAAATAAAAATATAAAGCTATTCCAAAATATCTGATTCACTGCTGATTATTAAGATGAGGCCAATGTAATCTTGAACTCATAAAAAAAATGTATACTCAAGAAAGGCTTTCATGTTTTTTTCCTTTTTGGAATAATCTAAAGCGATTATTTCCAAAACTTTGTTACCATTTTATAGCATCGTCCGATCCACCCATCGTCTGAAAAATAATAATTTTTATTCTCTGAGCAGCAAGAATAGTAATTTTAAAACAGTACAAAATTTCTTTTGACATACACTAGAAAAGTAAAACATAACATTTTGGAAACTCTCACGGCTGTTAGGGTAAAAATGACAATTCAATCATGGGTCAGGGAGGAGGGTGGTTAAGAAAGTTGAACTCCATGAATTACTAGTGGAGTTCATGGATATTTCACAGAGCCTTCAAATTGTGACGGAGTAATAAACAGTATGGGACTACACAGTGATGAAACTCAGACATCAATCCTTTTTGACGGTATCTTTTGACAAAAATAAACTTCTCAATAAGAGACCATTTTCCATCTGTAGAAGTTATAGCTCCTGCCCACTGCACAGAAAATAGTAACACTTAATCTATAAAGTGCTATATACATGTTAGATATTTATTAGGCGAAATTAAATAAAATCAAAATCTTTGGGTTGATTTGTTTAGTATGCAGGGGATGATATGTATCATACTGAAAATATAAATTAATGGCTGGGCACAGTGTCTCAAGCCTGTAATTCCGGCACTTTGGGAGGCCCAGGGGGGTGGATCACGTGAGATCAGGAGTTCAAGACCAGCCTTGCCAACATGGTGAAACCCCATCTCAACCAAAAATACAAAAAATTAGCTGGGCACGGTGGCAGACACCTGTAATCCCAGCTACTTTGGTAGGCTGAGGCAGGAGAATCACTTGAACCCAGGAGGCGGAACTTGCAGTGAGTGACTGTCTCCAAAAATAAAAAGTTGTAAATTAGAATACATGCTAGTTTTCAGCATTGGCTCATTTATCTGATTATGTTCCATTTTTTACATTTGGGCAACTCAAAAACGGGGGTTTTGAAATGCTCAAAAATCTGAAACTTTTTGAGTGCCAACATGCCGCTCAAAGAAAATGCTCATTAGAGCATTCTGGACTTCGGATGCTCAACTGGTGTAATATAAAAAAAAAAATCCAAAATCTGAAACACTTCTGGTTCCAAGCATTTGGGATAAGGGATATGCAACCTGCAATATTTCTCGGCATTTAGTTATATATTTACTGGAACATATGTGTCAAACAATGTGTTGGGCTTTAGAGAAATTATAGTATTACATGGAGATTCCTGAGATGTGCTGTCTTTTGCAGTCCATAAGGACCATAAGGAAAGAGCTGGGAGTAGAGGGCGGTGACATGGGTCCTAGTGAAAGAAGAGCAGTTGGTGTAAAAATTGGGAGAATCTGTGAGGAGGTATAAGCAGTTCAGATAGGTTAGAATATAGCAAGGGAAGGGGAAAGTCTTAGCAGAGAGACCTTAGACGAGGGTTTGAATTATTTCAGTAAGAGTCGGCTCATCTGAATGAACCTGAACTATAAAGAACAGGCCATACTGTTTGTAAAAAGCACGCAGTTAAAAACAAAAAACAAAAAACAACCAGACCAGTAATGCTGCGATGAACTAAACTGGACTCTGTCCAATCAAGTGCCTAAAATAGTGCTTGGGTGGAAAACAAGTACCAAATTCTCTTTCCCTTGTATGTGGACATCTAGCTTATAGGTAGAAGAGTAAACGCTAAAGTATGACCATCCAGCTACAACTGCAGCTCTTCACTGGTTGGACAGGCCAGAGTTGACAAGTCCAACTCTCCAAACTTGAGGCAAAGGGAGATCAGAATCGTATCCACATTATAGATTTGCTCTAAGACTTATATAATAAACAAATCTCTTAGTCACTGCCTGGAATACAGCAAAACCTCAACAAATATTAGCTTTTACGATGCCTACTTTTAGGTCCATAAATCTTTATCTGCCCTTCTCAATCCAGAGACTTCTGAAAAAATAAACTTTCCCAAGTTTGGCACAAATCTTACATGGTGGCAAAATGTGACCTGAAGCTATTTATAGTTTCTATTCGCCCCCACTTAGAATGAATGCTCACATCTATTGCTGCAAATATTAATGTTGGATGATGCGGTGCCCCATTCTGCTGGGGGTGTTATCTCTCGTCTAACATGTCGTCTTTCTAAAAAGATGAAGATAAAATCCAAGTATTTTTGAATTCAAAACACACTAGCTTCAAAAGTTTCAGCTAAGAGACTGGGGATGGATATTACCCATTCCTCCTGGAGAGAGGAAAAGAACATTCCAATATTTGCAATTCACTCCAAGTTTCTGAAGCAAACTCGCTTTGCATTGTGGGCTCAGAGATGCCAGCATGAAAAATTTCTATTCTTCCCTCAAACAACACCAGTGAACAAAGAACTTACAAAATGTTTCTGAAGGCTACCTTTGCCTGTAATGAGGGTTCGTTTTCAAAATAGACCTTTACAACCCCCAGGTGTGTATTTCTCTAGCAGTAAAACTAAAAAAAATTTTTTCGGTCGAGCGAGTCCGGCTTCATGCTTTAACACTGCAATCTTTACCTATTAAAAGCTGTACTCTTGCTTTTCAAGGTAAAGAGGAAAACGGTCCCCCTATATATAAGCTATCGTAGGTATGCGCTCTTCAGTCCTAAAAAAGGAGATCCCTAAATTCTGCCCTTCTCGTGGTTTGCCCTGGGTATTCATCTAACGTATCCGTGGGCAATTCCTCTAATGAGTCATAACCAGAGCGTTGTCACACTGCGGATTAACAAGCGCCCGAGATTCCTGTAATAATCTTTTCAGGCTTTTCCCTTTTTATTAGAAATTAATGAATCGGTGCAATGGGGTGGGGGTAGAGGGGAAATCGGGGCCAAAAGGCGCGAGGCCGGCAGCCTTTTAGGGACGCACGAACAAAGGGAGTCCGGGATCAACCGGAGCGAACCGGCCTCCGAGCGGGTCGCGCCCGCCGGGAAAGGGTGGGGGAGGGGCCGGCCCGCGCCCGCCCCGCCCCGCAGCCAGGCCTGACGTCAGGCGCCCAGAAACCCGTCGGGCGCGACGTCAGCGGCCTCCTACACCTTCTCCCTGGGGGGCGATCCCCAGGCAGCCCGCAGCGTGGAGGAAGACGACCGAGAGAAACGCTTAGCCCCGGTCCCAGGCAGGCGACCACGGCCCGAGCACTGGACGTGACTCGATGCACCTCAGTTACCGCGCCCGCTTCCCGCTCGGCCGCGCCCGCGGGCTCCGCAACCCCAGCCCCCCGATTCCCCTTCACGACTCCCACTAGTACCGAAGCAGCCTCACCCGGCAATATCCGAGACCGCAGTAGGGTCTAGAAGCGGCGATGGGTCCGAGGGACTGGGCCCTGAAGAAGCGGGCGCAGCCTGACTGACGGCAGGGAAAGCAGCGGCGGCAACAGCACCAGCAGCGCGCGGCTCCTCCTGGCGCCGGAACAGGAAGCGCCGAGCGCACCGCCTCCGCCCGCTCTCCCCCTCCCCTCAGGCCGCGCCGCGTGCGCCTCCCGCAGGCCCCTGGCGGTACTGCGGCCCGCCAGACGCAGGGGGATGGGCTCCACCTGGCGCCGGCCCCGGGCCGCTTTCCCCTGATGGGCGGGCTGAAAGCTCCCAGAGTTTCCGGAGTTCCGAGGACTCAGAGGAAACGCCAGTGGTCGCAGGTGTTCACGGCATACCGGCGGAAATTGCTAACTTGTCTTGAGTTGCTTGAGGGCTGATTCTGGATTCCCTTTGCTCAGCGGTTTTTACAGCTAGGCCTCGAAGGAGGCTGGGTATGGACGCGGTCTGATTTCTGCCTGACCGAACGATTCAGATCCTCGGGCCAAAAGTGGGGAGAAGGAAAAGATTAATACAGGAAAGAGAAAACCTTTGCAAATAGCTTAACAAATTGATATTTGCTGTCTTTGCTGAGTTTTCCTCATCAATGCCTCTTCTCCTATGTTCTTTTTTGTGGTTTTTGAGACGAGGCATCTGTCACCCAGACTGGAGTGCAGTGACGCGATCTCGGCTCACTGCAACCTCTGCCTGGTGGTCTCAAGCTATCCTCCCATCTTAGCCTCCTAGTAGCTGGGACTACAGGCGTGTGTCACCACACCCGCTGATTTTTGTGTTTTTAGTAGAGATGGGGTCTCACCTTGCTAGCCTCAAGCGATCCGCCCTCTTCGGCCTCCCAAAGTGCTGGTATTACAGGCGTGAGCCACCGCGCCCAGCCGCGATCTTCATTTCTGAATAAACATTACCTCCTGTGTCAGGCACAGATAACATGACCCCCAGTCAAGGAACCTACTAACTAGCAATAAAGATGTCGTGATAATTACATGGTGTGCAAAATAGATACATATATGCAATATATGTATTTTTTTGAGACGGAGTCTCGCTCTGTTGCCAGGCTGGAGTGCAGTGGCGCGGCGCTATCTCAGCTCACTGCAACCTCCGCTTCCCGGGTTCAAACGATTCTCCTGCCTCAGCCTCCCAAGTAGCTGGGACTACAGGCGCGCTCTACGTTGCCCAGCTAACTTAGAGACAAGGGTTCACCATGTTGGCCAGGATGGTCTCGATCTCTTGACCTTGTGATCCGCCTGCCTCGGCCTCCCAAAGTGCTAGGATTACAGACGTGAGCCACTGCGCCCGGCCAATATACATTTTTTTAACGTATAAAAATATCCTAAAAGCATGTGGTGCACTTGCATCTTGCTTTGTGTAAGGCATTAGTGAGTCAGGGGGTGACAATTTAAAACTGTGAACTTGTTTAAAGGAAGACATCCCTGGATGTATTCCACAGCAAACACAATTCTCACACTGAAAAAGGGGCAACAGAGGAACCTAAAATATCTAAGCCCAGAGTCTTATTTTTGGATAAGGGCACACAGGCCTATGGAAAATTACACAACTAGTGTGGACCTAGCCTGTCCTCACTGGAGACAGTGAATAAGCAGTGCTTTGTGGAGCCATGGTGAAGCCTGAAGCAACAAGAAATCAGCAATCCAGTTATGTTTGATTTGAAATTTGGTATCTTGCTCATCATAGGCTTTTTTTGGCATCAATTCTGATTTTACAATATTGCACCAAAACATTGTCTTCCTTAGTCTATTAGTCAAATATTTGTGCCCAAGTGCCTCACCATACCCTAGTCCTGGCACTGTAGCAGTAATGGATAGCCTCCAACTTTTCCTTGCCTGCAATCAGCCAGTAGCTGAGCACATTGGAGGGGTCTAGATCTAGGCCATTCCTGTCCCTGTGGACTTGTCTACAGGGAACCTTTGCTTGGGAACTAAGTCCTCACCTAGCAGTTTGAAGGTGCGCTGAAGTCCAAAGCCCCCCTACCCAATCCTTCCTTCCAGGTGTCAGACTTTCAGAGTGGTATGAAGAATTCCCCACCTTCTGCTCCCTTCTCCTTTATCTTTCTAGGTATTTCACTCCAAATAAATCTCTTGCACCTCTTGGCACCTGCTTCTGGAAGATCCAAACACAAAAAACTAAAAGGAGTGTATTATAAATTAGAAAATGTGTAAGAATGTGGATTTCTCTCTCTTTTTCAGATTCTAAGTTGAATGTGTGAAGACATATGTTTTTAAAATAAAACACAAAGCCTTTGGATTTTACATAGGAAGTTTTAATTAAGAAGAAATGAAAATTTATCCAGATCAGTTTATTTGAACTTACATCCAAGAAGAAACATTCAACTTAAGGATTAGAAATAAAAGTGGCAATTGTCTACTTCTTTCGTGGTAAGGAATAAATCATACAAGCCTGATTGACAAGAGTAATAGCTTTGTGAAAACTGCATATTTGAGTACATGTGAACTCATACTTGGCTTAGATAGAATTTATCCAATTCTAGCAAAGTCAGCATAATTTAAGTAAACCTCCTTGAGTTTTACACCATGGCCCTCAAGTCTGAAAGCTTAGATTTGATTATAACCATGGCAAAAGTGATTATCTTTATTTCCTGAAAACGTAACCAACTTTTAAAATAAGTTAGGCAAACATCAGTTTTACACAGACCATATGAAGGGTAGGAGGAAACTGCAGTTATTCCTCTAATTGCAGAGCCTAAACCATAAATTCAAATTGTACTGCTATCTCTACTGTTAAAACAAGTCAAGAAAGTATTTTACAGTCTAAGAGAAGTGAATGTAATTATGCAGGGTCCACTACAGAGATATTTTGAAAACCTATCATCACGTTAGTACTCAATGGCTGTACAGCAATTATTTTAAAGTATACTCTCAGGGTCACCTCTTGCTGAAGAATTAACCTCCAGGAAGTCGAGTGACAAGTATCACCTACATTTTATAGGAAATAAAGGCAAAGAAGATTTAGACTGAGTAACCTGTTCAAAATTAGAAAGTAAATAAAAAAATAGACTTTGGCTTTATTTTAAAATCCCTTTCTATTGGGTTATATCCATTAATCTACATTTCAACTTCCAAGCCAATCTATTTTAAAAAGTTACCTCCATTTTGTGTCCAATATCTTACTGTATTAGAATAGTACAGGTAGACTCTTGCACTGCTCATTTCTAGTAGGCCACTAATAAAGAAAAACCTTTGTGCTTTCTGTTCTTTCCTTAAAATACAAATGGAAAACTGACTTTTTTTCCTCTAAAGTAGAAACAGTAGTTTGCTTGGCTAAAAATATTTTATTCACTTGGGCATTACATCACCTAACATTACACAGGTTATTTTACATTTAAACATTGTTTTCCTTGTGTTGTCTCCAGGAAACTCTTATAATTTTGTCTACTTTTCTGTGAAATTTGCTTTACCAAAATGAATGTGTAAGCTGTTAATTGGATTTTGATTATAGCTAAAAGTGACAAGAAATATTTTAATGAAAAGTTAAGTATAAGAGTTAGATCTCTGCCAGGCATGGTGGCTCATGCCTGTAATCCTAGCACTTTGGGAGGCCGAGGCGGGTGGTCACCTGAGGTCAGGAGTTCGAGACCAGCCTGGCCAACATGGTGAAACCCTGTCTCTGCTAAAAATACAAAAATTAGCCAGGCATGGTGGCACACGCCTGTCATCTCAGCTACTCAGGAGCTGAGGTAGGAGAATTGCTAGAACCTGGAAGGCAGAGGTTGCAGTGAACCAAGATTGCACCATTGCACTCCAAAAAAAAAAAAAAAAAAAAAAAAAAAGAGAGATCTCAAGGTTTTTGTTTCATAGGAAGGAAGCTCTCTATTGCGTGGATCTATAAAATGATCCAAACTTCAGAGACAGGAAGCTGATAACTGGATTTATCTTCTTAATGGCTTTGGCTCATGAATAAATGATAATGGTTTATGTGTTTTTCTTATAAAAAGAAATGGAATTTGTGTACTGACAGGAGTCCTACTTGCCACATTTGTTCTACTTATTAAGGGATTTCTAATTACTAAGACATTCTTTATATTATTTATAATAAGAAGTCAAAACTTTAACTGAAAGCCATTCTTTGACCACAGTTGGCCATTAGCTGAAATTCAGGAAAGAACACAGGTTTGATCACCAAATCAATAAATCTAGCCACAGGCTGACTAAAAGCTTCCTTTAATCTTCTTCCTATTAGGTCTTCCTTTAAATTAAACCATTCCCTTCATGAATTATTTAGGTGAATGGCATGGCTATAGAAAGATCACATATAACTCTATACAGAAATGCTAAAGGAACCTTAAAGTCCATTCAGCATACTTCAGGAATTATACTATGAATCAAGATGCTGTAGGCTTCGAAAAAAATGGGAGTGGGAGTATGTCCTGTAAAGCTTCAGAGAAAAATAGAAAAGTCAAGTTTATTTCCTGATTAGCCCAGGATGATTCCCAAAGCGCAGTTAAGTGTCTGGTCCAGACTAGCTATTAGCGATTAAGTAGTTTCTTTTCACTGTCAAGGCTTTTCCCTGAGGTAATGCCTAAATTCCTAATTTTAATATTTGATCTTATTTCTCTTAGCTCCATCCTCTCTCACCAATAAGCTCTCCACATTTCCACCATGCTAAATACTTTCTCAACTCTGGAATTTACACTTTTCAAATCTTCCCTTTGTTCAACAGAGTTACAAAATTTTAGACAAATTTATATATTCCCACATTGTTCCTCTTAAAATTTACTCATTTATATAGTGCAATCAATATACTGTTTACATTTTATATAGGTTAGTTTCTGAATACTGTATGTTCTTCCAAATGTATCCTCACAAGACACAGAGGAAGGGGGTAACCTTTCTGAATTCCAATTCCTTAATATTTTAAAAACAATTCTTACTCTTTTCTTTTCCCTTAAACAATTCCCTTCTCAAGTCTTTATATATCTACTTTCCAAACTTCTTTTCACTGTAGCAAATACCAAAGGAAAAATAAAAATCATTTCAGAGTCAATGAATCTCTTCCCTGCTCTCATTTATTAGATCATCTACTTCAAGGCTACATATGTGGCAGTACTTTTAAGTGTTAACAGCTGTTAATACCTTGAAGTTGAAAAAATAAAAAAAGCCAGAGAAAACATATCACAAGCAATCAGTTTGAATTATATGAAAAGGTACTTAGATCTTGACTTTCATATAAATACTAATTTTAACACTATAAAAGACAACATAATTATATATCATTTTTCTTTATAAAACTACCCCGTAACAGAATATTTGTAAGCTAGTCATCCCTTAGGTTTTTCTGTACTGATAAAAAGTTATTTTTAAAAGAAAAATATTTAAAATAATTGTTTCACAGAAACAGAAAATCTTATCAAATTCTGATAAAAAACTATAATCATGGGTAGTCTTACCACACTATTTTATTTCACCAAAGATGGATATTTAAGAAGTGGTATATTTGTTAATAAGATAAGCTTCTCAGTGATCTACAAAAGCGCCACAATAAAGATGAGGTAGTATGAGACTTTTCTAACCTTGTAAAAGGTAAATACCGTCTTTAGAAGAGATATTTATCCTGGCATTGGTGTTATGATATCTGGAGCCTCATCACTGCTAAGAGAGGTGCCATTTTTGTAGCTACATCTCATTGAGACTAAGACAATCTTGAGATCACTGAGAAAAAAAAATGCTGAAAGATAACAGTAATAGAGATTTTCCTTATTTAATTTTGTAATAATTACTAAAAAATTATTTTAAAGCTATTATGGAAAAATGCCATTTTCATTTTAACAGAACTGCAAGATAGGGAAATGCTACTCACATAAAAGCAACAATAATGAAGAAATATTTGTTCTAACTTGGAAGTTTGAGTCAAATTTCTTTCAATCCAGGTAGAAGCAGTTTCCTAATATAGCTAAACTAGCATCAAGAAATCCATTACGACATTAAAAATGTCAATTTGTAAAAGGGTTAGACAGCTCACCAGAAGAAAAATTGTCTGTCTACATTTATTATTCATTGATTCTTTAAAAAAAGAAGTTAGATAGGATACCACTCCATTTATTTTTACTAGTTACCTTGGGATGAAGATGTTTCTAAAAATGTTGCCCTGTTTCTGGGAGAGTAAATTTAAAATATCACCCCTTTTGTCCAGTACCGCTTTGTATGCCATAAGTCATGCCGCTGTCAAAAGGCTTCCCTTTTTTTGAAGCCACATTAAAGACTAAGTTAATTCTGAAGATAGGGATAATTATTTGGATCTTGTAGATCAAAAACAATATTAAGCTTCCTGAATACTGAGCTCCATGTTTATTTCTTGAATCTTTATTCAAGTTCAACTTAAAATAATAAAAAATACTTAGGTACTCTTTGGTTACCAGTGGAAATTTGTGGCTGCTTATACATTGCGGAATTTCCCCAAAGTAACAGCTCAGAGTTTCTATAAAAGGGCTAAGTAGAAGCAACAGTTCATAAGCTAACACAGAAAAACCCCACAATTACTTTAGCACTTCAGTAACTAATAGCTACTAATAGTGTTATCATTATTTTCAAAGCTTCTAATGAGAAAGGAACAAGATTTATGTTTTGAAGATGGTTTAGCTCTTGCAGGTTGAGAGAAAGACCTATTCAGAAATGACAAATGATCCGGCCACATTGTAGAAAAGTAAGTGCACCTCCAGAACATTATGTTTTCATTTGATTCTCATTGACCAGATTAATCAAATTTAGTAATCCCGCTTTAGAGTTAATATTTAAAATAAAAACACATCAAGTTTGACTTGGTTTTGTTACCTTTAACATCCCTATTAGTAAGTTACAAAAGTCAATAACATTAGTATGAATGGTGAATTACAACATTCAGCTTTACTGAAGAATGTCAAACTCAATGAAAAGGGGGATGGGTAACTATAGTTTACATATACTACTACTAATGGCATAGATTAACAAAATATTTCACATGTAGGAAGGGATGTAAGATTACTTTTTAAAGAAAAGTATGAAATATAAAATATTCAAATGTGTTTGCAATGCCTACCAAATTTCAAATATGCCTGGATCATGTGTAAATTAAGGAAAGAAAAAATGTAAGTATACAACCTACAAGGTAAAAACAAAAACCAAACACCTGGTTAAAAGTATCTATTTAAGCTCTAGTGTAAAACCTTAAACAATTTGTGTATCATTAAAAAAATGGATTTGTAAGTAAAATTTAGGGCAGAGATTTATTTTGGACACCACTGCCTTCGCAGAAAAATTCAAAGTAGCATAATAAGAAAAACAAAATATTAAAAGAAAATATATATATCATTCCCATGCTCCTATCCTGTTACTAGCATTGCTGTTCTGGTGCATCAATCCTGAGTACTCTAACTTTTGATTTATAATGATATTCCTTCAGATATAGTTTCATAGAAGAAGGAATTGGAAGGGCATCGATGCCATCATAAGTTGTACAGTTACAAATAACTGTTCTGCATATATGCTGCAGGGAAAAGGGGAAAGTCCGAATTAAAGGAGTGGACAGCAGTGGTTCAAAGAACATACAGGCGCTTGGGTCCTTATAATGTTCTAGGAGCCCAGTAATGTCAGGAGAATGAAAGACACAGGGGTCATGTGCATCAAAGCTAAAGTTGTGATTCCACTGTTCAATTCTAGCATGAAGAGAACGACTATAGCGTCTAAAGCTAACAGAGAATAAATAGTCTTCCTGTGCTGAGTCTCGAAGTAAAAAGGTACCCTCTGGTTTTCCTTCCAGTAGTGCTTCGGCTGCATATTTATCCATTACTCCCCAGTAACATGGGTTGTTATTGATCTGAAGGAGGTCTGGTACAAGACAGTGGACATAATCAATCTGCGTGTGGTATTTAGGAGGTGTTTCCAACTGCAAGATTTCATCATCCAATTCCCATTTGGGTTTGTTTCTTTTTCTGGAACTTGTGCAAAGTGTTAGAATTTCATCATCGGAATCCATATCACTATCTTCTATACTGTTATTTGAAACCAGGTTCATCACAGAGCCAGTCATAGGATCTTCTCTACACAAAGCATTGTCGGTGGTTATGACACAGGGCTGAACATTGGTATGTGAGAAACAGTTTATATTTTCTTCCATATTTCTTAGTTTTAGCTGACCATCCCTCAATTCAGTCTGAGACAAGTCTGTGCTTACCCATTCATCTGATTTGGAATTTATAGGAGCAGTGTGTCGTTTAATAAAATGCCACCTAAAGGCTAAATCTGATCGAGGTGGGAAAGGACACTTATCTAACATGAGTTCACTGATATGAATTTTCCTTTTAGATGGAAGCCCTGAAGAGTGCCGACTACTACAATTCTTTATTGGAAAACACTGCCCCACGGCATCTTGCAGTTTTTGTTTAAGAGATCGGCCTAAAAATCTATGCCCACAGGAATGATCTAAGTCCAACTCAATGGATGAACAGCTGTGCTTCCTTTCTCGGTTCCTTAAAGACACTTCAGTTTTCTCTATACCATTCACTGTTTCAGCATCTGAATAACTCTCACTCTTTTTTGACCAAGATAACTTCTTTCCACTCCACACATAACCATCTTTTCTGTCGGCACTTCTGCTCCGACTAGTCTTGGGCCTTACATCTACATTTTTACTATTATTTTCATTATTTTCTGCCATTTTAACAAATTATCCACAAATTCTAATGTTATAAATACTGCTTTTTCAATTTTTCCAGCAGAAAGTTTCTTCTGGGCACTTTCTGGATGTATCTAAAGAAAACAAAAAAAGTCATTAACCATTTGTCATCTACCTTGTCTAGTTTACACATATTAAGCTTCAATTAGACACGAGGAAAAAGCACAGTTAGTACATGAAAAAGAGATGTTGGAAGGGAGTCCCAAGACACTTTGTTATCACTTAAATAAAATGCTATATATTATATAATATACATAACTTAATAGTGCCATAGAGTGAAGAGTGAGTTCCTTTCTCATAGCTTATTTTCAGTGTGGATCAGAAAAAGCCAAGCCTCCTCTATCGACCATAATATATGCTCAAATGTGAATAGTTTCTAGTCTTGAAGTATATCTTAAGCTCATCTCTCCATACCATAGTTTTGTTATTTCACAGCAGACCAGCGAATTCTTTGTTGGAGACAGACACAAATCTATAAGCTGGTGTTTGAGAACTACTACCTTACATAGTTCCTTCACCTTCTTCTCCCTATTTCCTTCCCTACTGATTAAAATATGAACAATTTTAAGTTGTAAAGCTGTAAGAATTTATTAAATAAGCAATCACCATTGAACAGCAGAAATGCCCAGTAAGCATTCCCAATACAGTGTTTTAAACTCACTTCAATAATTGGTCAACTCTACCATTAGTCTAGGCAATTTTTAGAAAATATAAAATTGAATAAAAATTTGCCATTTTAAACACATAATCCTTTGTATTCTTGATCATTTGAAAACAAGTAGATTAATTTCTATAAGGCACTGCCTTTCCTCTGAAGTTGGTAAAACATACTAGAATTTGTAATGTAAAATATCGAGTTTCATGAAGACTTATGATAATGATTGTCTGTAAATAGGATTTACTTAAGTATTCTTATGTGGAATAAGATTTAGGGTTGCCGGGTGCAGTGGCTCACGCCTATAAATACCAGCACTTTGGGAGGCCGAGGCGGGCAGATTACCTGAGGTCAAGAGTTCAAAACCAGCCTGGCCAACACAGTGAAACCCCATCTCTACTAAAAATACAAAAAATTAGCCAGGTGCAGTGGCACACAACTGTAATCCCAGCTACTCAGGAGGCTGAGGCAGGAGAATCACTTGAACCCAGAAGGCGGAGGTCGTGGTGAACCAAGATGGCGCCACTGCACTCCAGCCTGGGGGACAGAAGTGAGACTTGTCTCAAAAAACAAACAAAACAGATTTAGGGTTGGCTGGGCACAGTGGCTCACATCTGTAATCCCAGCACTTTGGGAGGCTGAGGCGGGTGGATCATGAGATCAGGAGGTCGAGACCAGCCCGGCCAACATGGTGCAACCCTGTCTCTACTAAAAATACAAAAATTAGCCAGGTACGGTGGTGGATGCCTGTAATCCCAGCTGCTTGGGAGGCTGAGGCAGGAGAATTGCTTGAACCCAGGAGGCAGAGGTTGCAGTGGGCTGAGATCACATCACTGCACTCCAGCCTGGGTGACAAAGCACGACTCCATCTTGGGGAAAAAAAAAAAAAAAGATTTAGGCCAGGAACTGGGGGAAGGGGTCCTATAATCTCAAATATTTTACAAATGAAAAATAAATTTTGTAACTAAAAAAAATAATAAATTTTGTAACTAAAAAAAAAAAAAATCAGTCATACTCAACAGTCTGATATGATTGTCTATATCAGAGGAAAATTTAAAAATCCCAACAGTCAAGTAAATGTCTACAGACACTTGAATCCATTTTCAAAGTAGTGGGATTTTAAACAAGTATCTATATTAGAAAATATGATTGGCAAGTGTTTAAAAGTGTGAACTAATAATAAAGACTTGCTATATAAAGAATTCCATTTCTAAGGCCAGATGCAGTGGTTCATGCCTATAATCTCAGCCCTTTGGGAGGCTGAGGTGAGGGATCACCTGTGCTGAGGAGTCTGAGACCAGCCTGGGCAACATGGCGAAACCCTGTCTCTAACAAAAATACAAAAAAATTAGCTGGGTGTGGTGGCGCACGCCTGTGTTTTCAGCTACACAGGAGCCTGAAGTGGGAGGATCGCATGAGCCTGGGAGGCAGAGGTTGCAGAGAGCCGTGATCTTGTCACTGCACTACAGTCTGAGTGACAGAGTGAGACCCCAGTTCCAAAAAAAAAGCAAAAACCATCTGGTGATTAGAGTTACTATGGTCAGCCCTCCACATCCATGGGTTCTCCATCCTCAGATTCAACCAATTGTAGATCGAAAATATCCGAGGAAAAAATCCCCAATAAATTAAAAGCAACACAGTATAATAACTCTTTATATAGCATTTACATTGTATTATTACAAGTAATCTGGAAATGATTAGAAGTATTTGGGAGGACATGTGTAGGTTATGTGCTAATATTACTCCATTTTATTTTAAGGGATTTGAGCATCCATGGACTTTGGTATCTGCAGAGGTCCTAGAGCCAATGTCCCATGGATATGCAGAGACAACTGTATTTTGATTTAGCGTGCTCAATGATCTATAACCATTTAAGATCTTTGGGGAAAACTATCTAATTTTGAAAGAAACTTCAAATTGTATTGAATTGTATTCAACTGCATGCTTTGGCTGTTCATTGACTAAATTCCACTGAACAAAAATTAGAAGCAACAAAGTGGGCTGAAGAATATGAAAAGTCATTTATTAATAAGGTTTGAAATGCTTGGCACTTTTATTTACTAAATGAACTTCACTTCTGAGTGTGACCTCTAGTCTTGTCTCCTTGCTGCCTCTAAATTGTGGCATTTCTTCCTTCACTTCCATATGAGACCTAAGCTCTCTACCTGTGTTCTTGATGACATTCTGACCTTTACCAGGGCCCTACTTCAATTTCTCTCTCAAACTTCTTGCTACCTTCAAAAACAACTAAGTCTGCTTATAAAATGTTTCAGTGATTATTATAATGTTTTCTTAGTCATAACTGTTTCCATTTCTACTAAATTTATTTTATTTTTTTAAGACAGGGTCTCCATCGCCCAGGCTGGAGTGCAGTGGTGCGATCATGACTCACTGAAGCCTCGACCTCCCAAGCTCAAGTGACTTTCCTGCCTCAGCCTCTGGAGTAGCAGGGACTACAGGCACACACCACCATGCCAGACTAATTTTTAAAAACTTTTTTGTAGAGACAGAGTCTCCCTAGGTTGCCCAGGCTGGTCTTGAACTCCTGAGCTCAAGTGAAAGTGCTGGGATTACAGGCATGTGCCACTGAGCCCGGCCCTAAATTTCTCAATGAGTAGTGTAACTTAATTTCCTCTCAAGATGAAAACCGCTTTTTGTTTTTTTCTCATCATAAAACAAAAATTACTCCAGTCAGAAAATGGCCGAGTAAAAATCTTTTTGCCCCATCCTTCTCTCAGAAGTCAGTACAAACAACAAGAAAACATGAGAAATAAAATCACAAACCTCTTCTTCAATGAAATGAACAGATATCTATAACCTGAGTCATAAAGTAGAAGTACAGAAAATGAATGAACAATAACTGACTCAGCAGCAGAGATGCAGGTGACAGACATCAGGCACAGAGGTAACACAGATAAGACGCAAGCCAACAGAGCAGGTAAAATTCAGGACCCACAAGCACTGGGTGCTACAGAAAGTATGGGTGGAGAACAGGGTGGAACATGAGGAGATGAGTTGAAATTCTGCCTAAGAGCAGGTAGATTTCTCAGTTTCTTATCCCACATTTAGAGGAGATGGGACATTTATTATTTGGAGAAACTGAACCAGGTGGGCTCAGGACTTTAAATACCAGACACAGCAGAGGGTAGAGGGGAAGATTGGGCCTAAAAAACAGTAACAAAGTAAAACTTCCTTGCTCTCTTCTGCCATCCAGCTCCCAGAACTCCAGCAGCTAGATTTTTATACCTTCCTAATAGAAGAGTGGCAGATACTTTCCTGGAGAAAGAGAATGGCCAAAGAGAAAAGACCTGTCAAAGCTGATAGCTGGGAATCCTCCAATAAAAAGCTAGAACACCACCCTAGCATACAGTGAAGCACACACATCCACAGGCCCTGGTTACTCACACACAGTTTCCAGGCAGCATAGCTGTACACTCTGAACTATGAAAGAACACTCCTGGGTCATCAGACTTGATATGGTTTGCCTGTGTCCCACCCAAATCTCACTTTGCATTGCAATAATTCCTATGGTGCAGCCAGGTGGAGATAATTGAATCATGAGGGCAGTTTCCCCCATACTGTTCTCATGGTAATAAGTCTCTCGAGATCTGATGGTTTCATAAATGGGAGTTCCCCTGCATAAGCTCTCTTGCTTGCCACCATGTAAGATGTGACTTTGCTCCTCATTCACCTTCTGCCATGATTGTGAGGCCTCCCCAGCCATGTGGAACTGTGAGTCAATTAAATCTCTTTCCTTTATAAATTACCCAGTCTTGGGTATGTCTGTATTAGCAGCGTGAGAACAGACTAATATAAGACTTTTGAGGAAAACTTCTAACATATATGAAATAAAAAAATATACAGAATTTGGAGAAAGCAATAACTATGGAAAGAGTAGAAACTAAAATTGACTTATTTCAAGAAAAGATATTATAACTATGAATAAGTAAGATGCTATAAAAAAGGAGGTGGGGGCCAGGCACAGTGGCTCATGCCTGTAATCCCAGCACTCTGGGAGACCGAGGGGGGAGGATCACCTGAGATCAGGAGTTCAAGACCAGCTTGGTCAACATGGTGAAACCGTCTGTACTAAAAATACAAAAATTAGCTGGGTGTGGTGGCAGGCGCCTGTAATCCCAGCTACTGGGGATGCTGAGGCAGGAGAATCACTTGAATCTGGGAGGTGGAGGTTGCAGTGAGCCGAGATTGCACTCCAGCCTGGGTGACAAAAGCGAAACTCCTTCTAAAAAAAATAAAAAATAAATAAATTTAAAAAAAAGAGCTGGGGACTACTAGAGTAAAAATTTTTTTGGAAATTAAAAATACGATTGTTAGGCCAGGCATGGTGGCTCACTCCTGTAATCCCAGCACTTTGGGAGGCAGGTGGATCATGAGGTCAGGAGTTCAAGACCAGCCTGG